TAATGTGTGGTGGCAGACTTATCACATAAAATATTATATATTTATCACACACAGACGCACTATTAGATTACCAGCTTAAATAGTTATCTTGAAAAGTAAGCCTAAGTACTTAAACAACTTTACATTGTTTCAATGCACGTTTGAGAAAGGATTATGTAATAAATATGTATTACTAGTGACCCGCCCCGGCTGCGCATGGATGCAATATGCATGTATTACATATAATCCTTCCATAAGAGTCACTCTATCTATTAAAAAAAAACGCATCAAAGTCCGTTGCGTATTTTTAAAGATCTAAGCATAATAATAATAACAATCCTCTATGCCGGTTTCGGCTACGGCGACCGTTTCATGTCTACTGGCGTCTATCATGGGCTCTCATGTAAGATAAGATCTAAGCATACATAGGGACAGACAGACGGCGGATAGCGACTTTGTTTTATACTATGTAGTGAAGTGATACATTCATAATTTTAGAATATTAATCAAATATTTAATGTATATCCATTTTTAAATTTCATTGTACACGACTTCAATGAGTATCCCACGTGTTAATTATTCTAGTTTCATGGTTATAAAAATATTATAAAATTAATGGCATTTTATCTATTAAATTTAGTATTACAAATTTTATGTAGATACTACATAATGCAGTTAACTCAAGGTTAAATAAAAAATGTATATTTGCAAGTTAAGTTGGACCCATAACTGGACCCTGCGGTACACCAATTTTCCAGTCTACTAATAGAGAATATATTGGTAAATTATTACAACTGTACAGTTTTACAAGTTCAGAACAAACACTTGAGATTTCACGGATAATTTAATATGTATACATTGACGGTTGATTTTTCATGCATATTTTCAATGCACTTTGTATTCTAAAGCCTTCATAGGTATCCGAAATACGTCACGTTTCACACAAATTAGGAATGCACAGTTATGAAATTTTGTCACTGTTTTAAACAAAGATCGTGTCGTGATATGTATGGCTGTTTATTTAAAGCACCACCATTATAAACTTGAACTTTACTTCTACGGTTGGTACGTATGTGAATGAATAACATTATTAACATTTTAGAACTCTTTATATTCGATCAATACCTACTTATGTATGCAGCTGTATGATGATGAAGAAACATTGTTCACCTAGACCTAGTTAGAGAAAGGACATAAAAAAGAAATAAAGGTACATACTAATTCTTTATACAGAAGTGAACTACCTACTTAGATAAAATTTGAAGGTTTTTTTATTGTCATTGGTCTTCATTTAAAAGAGATGAGATTTGGTTATCTATAGGAACTAGGAACTTGTTTTAAGATTCATGATCATTTAAGAAAAGTGGTTTTATAATTAACTCGTCGAGTACCGGTTTTATAGACACAATTAAAGAACAATAGGTCGCGGTCACCAGTGACCGCTTGGTGTTTGACAGTTTAAATCACGAACTTGTAAAATGAAAAGACAATAGATAATAGGTTACTATTATAACATTTGAAGTTCAATAGTCATTGAACTTCTCCTAAGTAAGGATTGAATAGAAAGAGACGTAAATTGTTCCACAGACAAGTACTCAAGTTTGAACGACGTAACGAAGGTAACTGTTATAGATAATATCATCAAAGAAATCGAATTATTTACTTGTCTTACAATGTAAGTTGAGTACTTAGGTATTAAATTCAAATATCTATTCTATTATTATCTCACACTTGTTCGAAGTAGATAACGCTGGAATTACCATATCTAAGAATCTATCAGACAAGTGAATTTAGTATTAATCGGATTTTTTGAGTTTTCACCAAATCCATCCTTTTGCCTATTCACGTCCGGGTAATTTTACGAGTATTTGTTATACAAGTATGAGTGTGCATTTTTCACAATAGAAATCATAATAATATTTTGTCAAGTAGGTAACATGCAATATGCTATCTGTATATTATCAGTAGATACCTACTTAGGTAGTTTCTTATGTACTGTCATCAATGGTTCTGCGTTGATTTCTGTTAGTAAATTATGACTTAGGATGATGTCAAGAAAGTTCAATATTGTCTGTTTTATGTTCAGCTCGTTGAGCGTTCTTAATATTCTCTCTGTGATATTTTCCTATTGCTACCTTCAAACTTAAAGAAATGCAGTGTGATGAAAATATGAAAATGTTATGTTTGTTTTTTGTAATTAATGCTTTATATTTTCTTAATCGTCTTAATAAAATAAATGGGACTCTAAAACGATTATATCGGTTTACACTTTTTTTTACTTAAGACCTTAAGTAAAACATCTTTGGCAGTGTTATTTAGCATTTAAAGCAAACGACTAATTTCCTGATTTGTCCAGATTCAGTGACCTTAAATGTTATCTTAGCAATTGAAACGGTCAACATAATAAACATGTGTTTTATCAGGACGCAAATATATAAAAATGGTGTTTGTTTAAAATCCTTCCCATCTATACGATATGAGAAATGAGATAAAATGTATAAAACTAAAAATAAACGTATAAAGTAATTACTTTTATCGTGAATAGGTACATAATGCCACTGCCTTTGATAGCTTCATGTTAACTATCTTGATTTTACCCATAAGAAGAAATTACATCATTTCATGTTTGCTATGCTTTTTTATCATGAAAAATCTTCTACTTAAAAGATTTCAAAATCTACTGAACAAAACGAATTTTGAAACTTTCATCTTAATAACAAATAATACCTATATAAATTCAAAAAACTCTAATCGGTTGTTTTCATTAATACCTACTGTAACTAGCCACTAACTCTCTAACCACAGCTTCACTCACAAAACTATACAGCCAAAACTTCTTTAGGAATATCACTAAGTTTCGTGGACTTAATAATGTGTTTGTTTGTGAGCATAAAGTTTTAAATAAATATATATAACTATCGGTGTACCTTTTAAAGTGCTTGCCTACATAAGATGATTTCCAATAATTCTTAATGTACTGTAACACAGACTCTAAAATAGCATGCTAAAAGGTATTCTACAGAGCATGCTCAAAACTTGCGCGCCTATTAGGCCACGCTAATTTTGAGTAAAATTTCGACATACACGCTACTAAGTGATAAGTGCTCATTTGAAATATGCTTTAGTGCTTGAAATTCACATAGGTAGGTACTGTGTCTGTAAGTGCCTTACTCATTTCGTCATAAAACCAAGAAATTGTAAAGCAATTAATTGACGATACACATTTTGCTCGAACCTATTTGGTATTGTCGCTGTTCTATCAATTACACTACAACACTAATAATTGCTATATATTACCGTAATGCCCATTAAAACTGTCACAACCACCCTTACATTTCGTAGATTAAAAGGCGTGACGTTACCTATATTATGCTGTAAAATTAAACTCAGGGAATGAAAAAATAATGATTTTTCAATAAAATAGAAAAAAATAAGTGCAGTTTCAAGGTAATCAAATATAATTTTCTTATAAGGTTTTTTTTATGAAAATTAAATAATTATTGCAATGCATAAGACAATATATATTTTTTTATCATATTATTTCCTTTATTTATTTCTATACTTGATTTGTACATTTTTAAATATTTGATTATATAAAAAAAAACATTTAAAAATATAAAAAGCAGTAGCCCACCAGTAACGGGAGAAATCCAAGCTACCGGTGGTCAGGGCTCCAGAGAAAGGAATTTCCGGACAATACGCGCCGTGTCCAGAAGTACTGCTATCTGTTATCATGTTTATTACCTACCCTTGTTTGATTTAACGGTTTTTTTATTCAGCTCCTGTCAGGATTTTTATAGCATTTGTTAACTTTTTAATATTTTATCTGAGGTTCAAATTGTCATTAATGTTACTGACCGTTTTATTAAAAACTAGCTTCTGCCAGCGGCTTCGCCAGCGGTCCCGGTGGTAAAAGCAGCCTTTGTGTTCCTCCAGACCATAACTTTGATGTGACTGAGTAACAAATATGTGTATGTTTGTGTGTAGAAACTCACAAATTTTGCGCAATTATAATAGCCAAGTCATTGAAGCTGATTTCGACCACAGGCCCTACAGTTACAGCGTAAAGCTTGCGGGTAACCCACAATTCGACAAACTTATATTTGCGTTCGGCACATTAATCGCGCCTACTCAGTAGGCTGAGCGACATCGCCGCGATCACCCAAACTGCTCTTAAGGAAGAGGCTCTCTGTTACTCGAAACTAGTAGAGCTTTTCTCAGTTTATTTACGTGAGTAACTCGTAATTTTTAGTTAATTGGGCTACAATAAATAAAAAAATATATATTAACGGAACAGGTTACCTAATAGATAATTAAATTATGTTTCTTTTTAAGTGCCTAACTTAATGGTTATGACCACGTAATAACTTGCCCTACATCGGTGGGTTTTCTACCGCCAGTTGTGTTGTGAACTTTATATTGTAACATCACATTTAAAGAACAAAACAACTTTATTTTTTACAGTTGTTTTATACGGCTGCTGCTGGCTATTCTGTAACTTTCAATTCAAAAGATCGAAGTGAACTCGATCGCGGTCCGCCATGTCATTGGTTGTGAAAATAATCTCGACCAATGACGGGCGAGATGCATTCTAGCTCACTTCGAATATTCGACTTAGCAGTTATAGAACTGTCTACTGATTATTTATTTCTTAATTGTTTGAGTTTAGTTCCCAGGAAGGATTGATTTTTTCATTTTCGGTGCACTAGGAAAATATGAAAATTAATGAAACATTTCTTATTACACAATTTGATATTTTATTTCATAACAAAATTCACGTTTTATCACAGCCTATAAAAATAGACCATCATTAGTCTAAACTTAGCCTATCGTTGTCATAAATACATTTTGCAAATATAAATAATGATTTGCAACAAATTGTCGAGAACACTTACATTTAAATAGTCTTTAAATAAGGTATCATAAACATACACATACGCTCTCACTCACGCTGCAAAACTTTCATACATCACAATGAGATTTAAATATAAAGGAATACTTGTTAAAGCCATAGCAACAATTTACGCTTCACCTTCTTCTAATGTGTCGGGTAATTTCCTTCCACGGGTATCAGGTAGAAGCATACAAAGTCCAGCGCCTATCAATGGCACAATACCAAACGCCAGAGGTGGTAGCCAAGCACTTGTGTGAGACAGAGTGGCAACGAAGGGAGCTACCATCGACCCTATTCGGGCAACTGTCGATGACAGTCCAACTCCTGAGTTTCTAACAACAGTTGGGAATAGCTCCCCTGCGTATAAATACACGGTGGCGAAGGAGATGCTCATCCCTAAGAGGCCTGTGCAGCCAAGTGTCAAGTGACTGGCTCCAGACTGAGGGACGACGATGATGAGGAGACAGCTGATTCCAGTGATGCAGTTCGCACTGATCAGAGTGATTTTGCGGCCCAGAACTTTGTTGGTGTAGACGGAGATCAGGGTTCCAGGAACCTGAGGAAGAAAATATACATGGTAAAAAATCATGTAATAATAACTTAATATTACATTTAAAAGGGTACCGAGAAGAGAGCTAATCTTTCAATGAAACACTTGTACAAAACGTGAAATAAATAAAGAATTAAGCAAACTTTATTAAATAATTTTGAACGTCCGATAACATAATTAAGTAAGGTAGGTAGATAATACAGAGAAATCTGCCTTTACAATAGAGATAGTTAAATGCTAAAAGGCCAGTTAAACCGAAGATTAACTTAAAGAGTAAAGTCTGCTCAGTGACTAATGATTGCGTGTTCCATGACATTGCAGAGCGTGATTTAAACTGGATATAACTTTAGTGACTATCTAAAAGATAACTTAATACCTAGAGTTTACGGGATAATTTCGGGTGAAACTGGTTCTGATAATATTGAAATAATTTCCAGTAAACTTGCTATGCTTATCGCTTGTGAAGTGACACGAATAATGTAAACTATAATAATTACTATGCTGAGATAAAAATGTAGGTGAAGAGATTATTATTTTTTAATTTGCTTAAACTTCACCCTTTTGTTCTTTAATGATATAAGCTGCACACATAACGTGTTGGTTGTCATGTGAAAATAGAGACAGAGAAGATATAGTATTCGTGGACAGTAAAATATTGACATTTTATCTTGCCCAAGAACCTAACTGGACGAGGATTTAACTCAATCCCACAAAAAAACTATTAAAGTAAATGTCAAAATAAGGAAATAGAGAGAATGGAATATAATTATGTAATGACATAGATACGAATGGGGACTGTATAAACATTTTTTATGGTATAGGTGGCAAACGAGCAGATGGATCACCTGGTGGTAAGCGATCAGCGCAATTACAATTACAAAACATTGACAATTACCTGAATAGCAGCGGAGATAGCAACATTGGTGAAGATATCTCCAGATATGTGGCTCATGTACTGTGAGACCCCGAAGAAGCAGAGTCCACACACGAACCAGTTAAAACAGATAGCGATAGTGCGCGCACGTAGGCGTGGCGTACGGAAGAGATCTATGAACGATGCATGCTCTTCTTGTTTACCATCGTTGTCAACTACAATCTTCTGTGAAGATACTGCTATTCCTTCTGTTGGTCTACCGTTTCTGAAATAAAATAGAAGTTAAAAATTTAGTTTATTCAGCATTATAATGAATGCTTATGATTATCTAAACCTATTCGTAATATTATCTGTAAAAGGATTAGATAGCCCACCAGTTTTTTTTCTTTTCTAAGGAATTATGGTATTTTTGGGATCTTAGAAAATTACAAGTACCTATTAATTGTTTAGTAATTACTAAGATAATATTTAATAGTAATTACGCGCTATATGGCACGCGCTGTATAACGTTATTTTATCTCAAATAGTTCAGTAGGTCGATTAGAATTGAGAAACATTTCAGATTACTTCTGTGAACGTGATTAGTATGGCAATTATTAAAAACTTTGTATCTTACTCCTATTTTAATTATATCTAATGATTTCGTTTCAAATGAAAACGATTAACTTAATACACAGTAGTACCACCAACTGGTTTGAACTAATCAAAACCTAGTTGGTGCACGATAAAAAATGTGATTGATATAGGTTTTAATTTACATTCTTTTCGATGCATACCTATACATTACTTGATTTCTAATCTGCACAATAACAATAGCTCCACCGCTATTGTTTATATCGCTACCGACTGCTACGTCCATAGCGAAATAAACTATGTAGGTACTACACATAACTTAATCTTTAAACATTAAAACAAATACCTACAGTTCTCTAGATTACAGCTTGTAAAGCAATTGTGTTCAAGTAAATTTACGACTTTTTTATTACATTTATGAAAATTTGCAAATGTTTGTGTATTTTCTACCGCACCTGGCATATTTCACTACATTGAATGAAAGCGAAAGTGGGACTCTAACTTTCTCAGCACTTGTAAACCGATGTATGTTTTGCTTTCTTACATAAATCCTTTTATAATACTGGGCGTGTCATTACATGCGTAATACGTATTTACGTAAAAACTATCATCAAAATGTTATGTGACCCTCACCTTTTCGCCGCAACTTCCATAATTTTGACAGCTTCCTCCGTCCTTCCAGCAGTTAGAAGCCATCTTGGCGATTCAGGGAGTAGGAAGTAGTAGCTCAGGAACAAAACAGATGGCAGTGAGATCGCAAGCTGGAAGGTGCTCCAATCCCGAAGGTAGTATCCGAATAAGGGTAGAGTCAAGTGTCCAAGATTGAAAGGGATCTGGTAGATTATTCCGACAGTGTCTCTGTATTTAGCTCCAATCAGTTCCATTGTTAGGACGAAGCTAGTCACCATCGTGCCTCCAGTGGCCACTGCGAGGAAGAATCGAAGAGTCGTGAACATGTACCAGTTGACTGAGTACGCTGTGGTCACTCCTGATATCAGCTGCAGGAAAACTGCTGCCAAGAATGGATTACGACGTCCGAATCTGTGAAAACATAAAATTGGTTTCAAACTTGGGTAACAACTATGAATTAAATTAGAGGATTGGGAGTCTAATCTATTTTGTTAAAAAGAGTTTATCTATATCTTCCTGTTAATTATTTTCGGTTATGAATAAAGAACTATGGAATAAAATTAACTTAAAAAACAATCTGGTAACCAAAGTCAGGATTTGATGTTCAACAATCGCTAGACTACCAAGGTAATCAACAATTCGCTATTTTAAATATAATATAAAATACATACATAGATAATAGAGACGAACAGGTTTTAATTTAATAAACCTTTTATCTTTTGTATATTGATCAGGTTTATTGTAACTGTGGACAAGACAAAGAAGAATTTCACACACTAGACACACGTGGCTAATACGTGTGGCTTGTAACATAGGAAGCAGTTCCAAGGATTCTAAACGCGGGTTATCAGGGAACGTGGTATTGACCTATCACCAGTCGATATCTATTCTACTACTTGTAACAGATCATCCGCAAAGTTCTCATACCGATTAATAAACCGTTACTTTGTGCATTGAATGCACCTTCAATATAATTTAAATACATAATAACGCAGTGACCCCTTAAACGAGATTTGCTAAAGTAATCTCATCCGGACCCCAGTCACAGTGATGTGCAGCGTTAAGTACAGGATGTGCCAATTGCTCGAAGATCTATATCAAGAGCAATTGACTTGATTCAATAAATAGCACTAACCTGTCAGAGAGATGGCCGAACATCATGTTTCCCACAAGGATGCCGAGCATGAAGATCGTCTGTGTGAGGTTCTTCAGCCATTGTTTGTCACACACCAGGTCCCATTGTGATATGATCGTTTCTTTGAAGATACTGCGGTCGTACTCGAAGTCAGTACAGTTAGCGTGGCAGACGTTATCAAACTTATCTTCAACTTGTGTCTCAGCGCATGTGAAGTTCATGGGTGGTGCGAGGAATATGATGCTCATCTGATGCCAGGCCACTGGGAATTTGACAAGGAATACGACGAAGCATATCCATATTTGCCATTTCCCGAGAGCTCCGATGGCTTTCGTCAGAGGATCCTCTTCCACAGTTTGGTTCTCTACGTCTTTCTTTTCGGTCTCCAACACTGAAAACAATTTATGGATCTGTTTAATATACTTTGTTAAGATTAAAATTTAAATACAAGTTTTAATTTTGGTAATTTGTGTGTATTTATGATTAGTGCCACCGAGTGATTATAATAAGTCGTTCTTTGAGTTAACAATCTTAAAAAAATAAAAACTTCGATTTAATTTAAATAATAATGGTTTGAATTTAGAAAAACACACACAAAACAGCATTTATAAGTATGTGAAAAGATACTACAATACCCAATAATTAAAGTAGGTAACGAAATCGCCTTCAATAACATTAGCATTACTTACATATAACAGTTATGTTGTTATTGTTCATGTATTCTTTCTTGCAAGACATGTTAATCGGAATATGCGTACGGAATATTTAAATTAAAAAACAATTGGAAGTTGTTTGGACCACGCACTACTTTTCATGCTCACTTCTTTTAGAGAACTGTGAAAGATTCAGAACGGTGATTCCTATCAATAGGTACCTATATTTATATCAACCGCGGGTGTCAAATCCGTCACCCCGAAAATTGGACAATGTCCGTCTGCAAAAAATGGATAAGACATCACCTTCGGGTCAATTGAAGCTATCACGCGTTCCAATATAGATACAGGGTGGCCAATCGATAACCTAAATATAACCAGTTTTTTGTGATTGATAACTAAATGACACTGTGTCTGTATTTCCCCCATCCCTGAAGAACTAGTAGAGCTTTACGATTGAGTGGAAATGGTACTCATTTACATATTTATGCCGTTGTTATAGGGGGTGACCCTATTACCATTAAGTTTCTATACCAGACACAATACAAAACTTCGTGAGAAAACAGATTTTCTTTTTATAAATTTATATGTAGGTGCTTGGCTATCATCGCGACTGGTGGTAAGCAATGATACCGTCAATGATGGAGCACGCCTGCTTTTAAACATCCTTTCCACTTAAATAAACTATTCCATCTCGATTCTCTCTACTCTCTACTGGAAATATCGACTCTGGTATAAAGATCCATGTGCTTACGTGGTTCTTAGAATAAATAATCTAAAAACAAATAATTAAATAATCTATAAGTAAGACTGGCCAGTCACTCACATTTATAATTTAAGGTTTCTACCACAATAGATTTTTTATATTACTACAATACATCCTTTAATTAATTTAATTTTATGTCTGTTAGGTATAGGTATCCTATAATTAAGGAGATAATCGTAAAATACCAATCCTTAGGTATAATCTAAATTCATGATAAGGAAAAATTGTTTTTAAATTTTGAAAATAAAATGTCAATAGGACCTTTATTATTTAAAAGGTCGGCATTATAAATCGTTAGTGTTAAACCTGTTAGGTTAGTTTGATGTCTGATCTTAAATTTACATTAAATAAGAAACCTAAGAGCTCTTACACACGAGCGGTATGTTATGTTGTCAACAGCAGAGTCAACTGCTGCCGTTGACACGTGTCGGCAGCAACCGCTGACGCGTCGACTGCAGCAGTCGACCTATAGCGACACTAAGAGTTCTTCGAAGTTGAAATGTCGACGGCTGCCGTCGACTCATCAACGAATGTCGCCGACGGCTGCAGTCACTACTGCTGTTGGCAAATATCCCGCTCATGTGTAAGAGCTCTAACATAGAGATATATCTGCCCAAACACAAGCTCGTGCTTGTTTAGCTAGATCGATATTATTTTAACAGTACATTACAAATAACCGTTACAAATAAAATAGCAATCAGCTGTAGGTATTTTTTTCACAATCTATGTCACTACTAATGATATAATTATAATATTATGTTTGCTAAAGAGTTGAAGTATCGCTTTAAAGTATGTTTGATGTGCTGTTAATGTTTATTGATTAGATACTTGAAATCACATTAGAGAACAAAGAAAAATAAGTGCACCAAAGTTATTTTCTATAAATGTAATAACAATTTACTATTATATAATAAAGGGCATTGTTTGCATGACATTCCACAAGGCCATGTTTACAGTTAAGTGCATGAAATGTTCGCATGTGATTAAACATGCAAACCGAGGCGTCTTTGTATCATTATTAACAATTATTAATAATAGCACGTGTGATTTACACGAGAATGATGCATGTGTTAATTCACGAGCAATCAAAAAGTAACGTTTTTGTATAACTTAACAGCTTTTTTGTAAGATCCGCCATTCATTAAATAATAAGTGGTCATCTTTATTTCGAAGTTACTTTACTGATGTTTACCTATGTCGAATGTGTTTAGTTTTCAGATATCAAGTACATCCGTATTTTACTTTGTAAATAAGGAAAACTGATGAGTAAACAATACCCTTTCAACAAGTTAGGTTTTGTTTATACAATGTTAAGCCGAATCTAATTGGTTGTTTTCATATTAATGTTTTATCATAAATAATTGTTACGAATTATCCGAAATGCGGAATTTATTTGAATTTATTATAATTGTTTTGACCTTTGTACTGTCTATGTTCATTATCGGGAGTCAGCGCGACGCAGAGCGAGGCAATCTTCGTTATCAGAGGAACGAGGAGCCGAGCCTCCACGCGACTCCTGATAACGCAATTATTTCGTATTCATCGATATGACAACATTGAGTCATACGTAACATACGATATAAGTTAGCCATTTGTAATGTCAATTCTATTATTTGTAATATAATAAACTAATCTAAACCATACATAGTATAAATACATTTTACTATTCTTTCTCCTGTCATTTTCCAATGAGTGTAAGGTCGATACTGAGGTTTAGCTACATTTAATTTAGCTATATATTAGTAGGTAACTTACTACTTATTTTATCTGCTCTCCACGGTCTTCCAACGACCAAATGCTAAAGGCTACTCAATTTGAAGTCGAACTTAAATACAGTGCCATCATTGTCATTTTACAAAGAATTTTTGGTGACAGAACTGTACTTAAGCGCGACATAAAATTTAGTGGTGTTTGAGTATTCCAGCATTAGAGTGGTACCACATGTTTCATTACTCTTTATTCTATATTTTTTATTATAATATAATTGGCTTGTTTCCTAGGTTTAAAATAAATTGTTTCAACTTTTCAATGCAATAAATAATTAAAAAATAATCATACTCTCATCCATTGATTTGACAATTTACCTATTTTAAGGAAATAAGTATTCTATTTGACGCAGAAATACGATGACGTCGAAAAGTTGCGATCCAATAAAAAATTCATAGAAAAGTATCGTTTTTGACATTTCAATAAAAGTATTGAATTTGACTACCTTTCAACTACCGTATTGGTTCAAGTTCTTATTCATGAAGTTACTAAAGTATTCACGACACAAAAATGACAAACATGTAGAATATATATTAAATATTAATTGTCTGTAATATCATGATATTAAGGGTTTTTCTATCTTTGATTAGAAAATGAATACATTGTCAACATCATAACGGCAGTTGTATTAAAGTAATTGCATCTTTAATTAACTGTACCTACTATGTATCAAATGAGTTTGTATAGCTTATGATTTTGTATATTTATTTAAATTAATTATTACAAACATAAAATATCTGATAATAGACACAATAGTTGTCTCTAGTATAGTCTTTACTTTTGATTTATTTATTTCTATTATATAAGGTAGACATAATTTATTGTGGAATACACAATCCGATTTCAATCATGTTCAAGTAAATGAAACCAAGTCTGTAAGAAGTGGTAAAAAATATGGTTTTCCGTTAAATATTTAAAGTAAATATGGAAAACCAAAATAAAATAGGTACCTATTACTATTGTGTAGAAGATGTAGAAAACAAAAAGAGACTAAAAGTACATAATATTAAGTTTTTATACTTATGTGTTTGAAACTGGCAAAATAAAGATCCCAATTAGAGGTATCCGGCAAAGCTATTTATTATGTTGTTGTTGCGAACCGATTTATGTTGTTAAAGTTGAAGTCTATTCACCTCGTAGGAGGAAAACGAATTTGAAGAAACCATAGACAAAAAAGAAGATGTTTTTTTAATATTTCGCAGATTTTTTTTTAGTCAAATGCGTCTGTTAAATTATGATTGAAGTAATATTTTAAAACTTAATCAATTCGATATAATATTCTTGATATAATCCAATGTCTTGATATAACCTTGTTTTTTGTGTATAAATGTTCTGTTATTTTTTTCAAGAATGAATTTAATGTATGCAAAAATATGTATTATGTCCCCGAGTAAAATAATCTTAGTCATCTCGCTATAGAAACGGTAAAAAAGGACATAGGTACTCTTTGTATTTCCTTTTTTACCGTTTTATTCAGTAAAATAAATAAGTAAATATTTTATTCAGTAAATATAAATCGTGACAATTTCAATTAAATAAATTATGTAGTTACGCTACCCAGGTACTTCATTTGTTTATGTTAGAAATAAACGTTACATTAATCTAAGAATGTAATTTAACTTTTACGGGCTTGCCAAGTCAATTAAGATGGCGGATTGCAAACGCACGTAGCTAATAAGAAACTCCCGGCAATTTAAAATAGTTACTGCGAATCCTGGTTAACAATTCACTTGTCGTTTTCATTCAAATTTTAACAAACACCTTATAAATACAAATGGAAAGTCTCAGCACGTAACGAGTGCGTTACTACAATAGCATTAAGGGTTCATTACATAATGTCCGGTTACGCAAATATTAAGTTACCAACAGACAATAATTTAAAGAAAATGGAACAAAACCAACGTCTCAATTTGACCGGAACATATCCGGTGTTGCCAATCGCCCTTAACATTTGAAATAATAAAGCATTTCTGCACTGCAATTAAAATTTTACTTTAATGGGCGGTCATTCGATGAAGTTTAAAACGTAATTACCAGCTGTTATTTAGGTTCACGCAGTAAATATCACTTTCATAAATAATATATAACAATAGTTCAGTAACTGTTGCTTTAAAGGGCACATATGTATTTATTTCTACGCAGCACCTATGCATACAATTAATCAATATTAGCTTTGAGAACTCTGGAGCGTGTATCGTGCGTCGCCGTACAACTTGCGTGTCGGGATGGAAAACTACAACGAGGGCAATCACCCCGCTTGGATGTCGGAGCCTCGGAGGGACTCATTACGAGCAATCTCCAAACAAAATTACTTTTACAATTTCCAAAATTATTCTCGCATATTTTTATGGACACAAAATCGAGGACGAGAAGTCCAACAACTTTTTTCGACAAAGATTGCGGATAACGGGTTCAAAAGTTATTAAAGTAAATTATAAATAAGTAGGTACCTATTCATGCAAACATATTTAATATGGCTGTAGCTCCACCAGTCAATTATGTTTATAAAACTTGCATCTTTAATAGCCACCTTGCTATTGATCTTTGTGATC